AAAGTTATATCGACAATTTATTGGTTGCACTGTTGTAGAGGGAAGGCCAGTTCCTTTGCATATCAATGATAAATTAAAGCATTTTGTGTACAAAATGATCAGAGGTATAGATAGAGTGGACAGCCAGAGACTTTTTCCTTGGGTGGAGGTAGCTATTACGAGGGGACATAGTTTTAAAGTGAGTGCAGGTAGATATAGAAGAGACGTCAGAAGTAGGTTCTTTACTCAGAGAGTAGTAGGGATGTTGAATGCATTGCCGGAGAGGGTAGTGGAGTCGGCCTCATTAGGGGCATTTAAGCGGCTATTAGATAGGCATATGGATGATCGTATAAGGTAGGGGTGGAGGTTAGATAGACCTTAGGTTTAGGGTAAAAGTTCGGCACAATATCGTGGGCCGAAGGGCCTGTACTGTGCTGTACTGTTCTATGTTCTATGTTCTATCCCTGTAAGTGTATTCGTGCCCACAAAATAGAATTTTGCAAAAATGCCTACAAGTAGATACATTTGTTCAAAGTGTGCTGCTCATGTGTAGCTGCACTACTGGGACATCAATAACACATTAATCAAATATCAGAGATGGTAGGAACGGCCAATGCTGGAAATTCCTGCTCCTCTGATGCTGCTTGGCCTGCTGTGTTCATCCAGCTCTACACCTTTTAATCAAATATCAATTGTGTTCACGATTCCTGGTTCGTGAGGATTCTTGCAGCTGAACCCCAGTGTTTTGCGTTTCATGGGGAAACTTGCCAGAAAGGGAGGGAGGGTTTTGCCCTGAGTTTGCCCCCTTTAAGGGCTGCAATTCTGCAGAGGGAACAATAATATCAGGATCGTCTGCACAATTTGCTTCTTGGATTCAAAACTCAACTGGAAAATGCTGGTCAGTAAAACAAAATAATCTCCACAAAGGTATGTGAATCATTTTATTGTCGCAGACCTTTCACGTGTTTGCATCAGATTCCCCTTTGTGCAATAGTCCATTTAACATAATTCCGTGCTGTATGTACATACAGGGTATATTAAATATTGCAGACTTATAACTACTTTTCTGTCTCCTAGGATATTAGATAGCTTTCAAAATGGTCCTGGCAACCCTAAGAATTTTTTTGACTGCTATCCATTCTGCTCATGAAATTTGGTCTTCACGAATTTTATCCTTATTCCAACTGACAGGGGATGGAGAACCGAAACAAAAAGCCTCACAGCTGAGGAAGGGACAAAGAAAGCACCAGATGACATTCAAAATGAATGGGACGTGACACAAAGAAATACAAAGGAAGGAGTGCGTGAAAGAGAGCAAGTAACTGGTGGCTACCGAGAGATGTCAACATCAGAGATGAAAGTCGCAAAATTGCATCTGAAGCCGCTGTCAGGAAACAAGACTTTTCAAAAGCAATGTCATACCGTCCCCGTAGATACAGCAGAAAAATACTGTCCTGGCTCTGTCATTTCTCAGGGTTTTTCTTTGAGAAACCCATAAGCAGGTTCCCCAGATGCAGATCACCTGAGGGTGAGAGAGAAGGTGGGAGGCTCTAAAAAGTGCGATCCTTGGGGCATACAGCAGAAATGTCCCCTCTAAAAATAAGAATAGTACTGCCAAATCTAGCCCCCCGCCCCCTCCACCGCAATAGTTGTCAAGAAAAATACGGGGGAAGTTTAAACAGACAAAGAAAGCTTCTGATAGTTACAAAAACAAAACTCAGAAGTCACACGACACCAAGTTATAGTCCAACAGGTTTATTTTAAATCACAAGCTTTCTGAGCACTGAAGAATTCACCTGATAAAGGAGCCGCACTGTGAAAGCTTCTGATTTCAAATAAATCTGTTGGGCTATAACCTGTGTCATGTGACTTCTGACCTCAGTCCAACACAGGCACCTCCATATCACAAAAAAAAACCTCAACATTACAGATAGCCTAAGAGAGAATGTAAAAAAAAAGAAATAAGGACATCAAAGAGAGGGATAAGCAAGATAAAGGAAAACCCAGTGAAGTTTTGCCAGTATGCAAAGAGCAAAAGGATAGTTCAGGAACAAGTGGGACCTATCAGAGTTGAAGAAGGGAACTTGTGTGAAGATGCAGAGGGTATGGAAAGAATTTTAAATGGCTTTTTGTTTCCACAAAGGAAAGGGATGATGTGGATACAGTAATCCAAGAGGAGTAGTGTGAAATATTGGACAAAATAACGAGAGAGGAAGTGTTAGAGTCATAGTGATGTACAGCATGGAAACAGACCCTTCGGTCCAACTCGTCCATGCCAACCAGATATCCAAATAAATCTAGTCCCATTTATCTCTCTAAACCCTTCATGTTCATATACCCACCCAGATGCATTTTAAATGTTGTAGTTGTATCAGCCTCCACCACTTCCTCTGCCAGCTCATTACAAACATGCACCACCTTCTGTGTGAAAAAGTCATGCCTTAAGTTTCTTTTATATCTTTCCCCTCTCATCTTAAACCTATGCCCTCTTGCTTTGGGCTCCCCTACCCTGGAGAAAAGACATTGGCTATTCACCCTATCCATTCCCCTCATGATTTTATAAACCTCTAAAAGGTCACTCCCTCAGCCTGCAATGCTCCAGGGAAAATAGAGGTACTGGAATCCCTGAAAGTAGATAAGTCTCCAGGGTCACTTGGATTGTTCCCTAGGATGTTGAAGGAGGTCAGGGGGGAAATAGCAGATGCTCTGAGGATTATCTTTTCAACCTTCATGAGACACAGGTGAAATACTGGAGGAATGCAAATGTAGTTCTGTTGTTTAAAAAGAGTACACAGGAAATGCCAAACAATTATCGGCCAGTTAGTCTTACTTCAATGGTGGGCAAATTGTTGGAATCAATCCTGAGAGATCAGATAAACTGTCACTGAGAAAAGCCTGGACTAGTCAGGGATAGTCAGCATGGCTTTGTTAAGGGAAGGTCTTTCTTTACAAAATTGATTGAATTCTTTGAAGAAGTCACAAGGAGGATCGATGACGGTAATGCAGTGGATATTGTCGACATGGATTTTAGTAAGGCATTTGACAAGGTCCCACATGGCCGACTGGTCAAAAAAGTAAAAACCCATGGACTACAGGGTAATGTGTCAAATTGGATCCAAAGTTGGCCCCAGTAACAGGAAACACAAGGTAATGGTCAATGGCTGCCCTTGTGAATGGAAAGCTGTTTCAAATGGAGTTCCTTAGGGTCAGTGTTGGGACCCCTGCTGTTTTATACATTAACAATTTGTATTTGAACGTAGGGGTACAAGTGAGAAAGTTGCAAATGACAGAAAAATTAGCTATGTAGTAGATAGTGTCGCGGATAGCTGTACCCTCCAAAATGATATAGATGGATTGGTGGAGTGGGCAGGAAAGAACCAGATGGAGTTCTGATAAGTGTGTTCTAGTGCATTTAGGGAGGTCAAACAGCAACAGGGAATACACAGTAAACAGAAATATACTGAGAGGGGTGAATGAAGTGAGAGATCTTGGCGTGCAAGTGAACAGGTCCCTAAAATTAACAGTACGGGTTGATAAAGTTGTAAATAAGGCATATGTTAACTTATAAATGGTATACACTGCTGTTATTAAACATGGGCATTTGAGGGAGTGGGTGTTTGTGGATGTGATGCATTTAAGAGGACTGCTTTTTCCTGGATGGTGTCAAGTTTCTTGAGTGTTTCTGGAGTTGCACCCAGTCAGATAAGTAGGGTCACATGTTGGCTCAGTGGTTAGCACAGCTGACTCACAGTACCAGGGACCTGAGTTTGAATTTACCCACAGGCGACTGCGTGGAGCTTGCGCATTCTCCCAGTGTTTACATGGATTTCTTTTGGATATTCTAGTTTCCTCCCACAGTCCAAAGATGTGCAGGTTAGGTGGATTGACCATGGGGAATACAGGGTTACAGGGATGGGTGGGACTTCAGAGGGTTGGTTTGGATTTAATGAGCCTGATTTGATTTATTGTCGTGTGTACCTAAGTGCAGTGAAAAGTTTTTGTTTGCAAGCAGTACAGGCAGATCATAGTAAGCAAGGTAAGAAAATAGGCAATGGCCTGCTTCCACACTATAGACTCTAATTGCAGGGGATTCAATCACACTCCTGAGTTGCCCTGGTGGTATTATCGCTGGACTATCAATCCAGAAACTCAGATAATGTTCTGGGGACCCAGGTTCAAATCCTCCCACGGCAGATGTTAGAATTTGAATTCAATAAATATCTGGAATTAGGAGTGCAAGGATGACCATGAAATAAACCCATGTTGGTCACTAATATCCTTTAGAGAAGGAAACTGCCATCCTTACTTGGTCTGGCCTGCATGTGACTCCCAGAGCCACAGCAATGTGGTTGACTCTTTACTGCCGTCTGGGCAATTAGGGATGGGCAATAAATGCTGCCTGGCCAGCAATGCCCCTCATCCCATGAATGAATAAATAAAAGTTGTGCCTCAGAGATGATGGGCAGGCTTTGGGGAGTCAGGAGGTGAGTTATTCGTATTCCTAGCCTCTATCCCGGAAATCCTGGCTGAGCAATCCCCGTGCAGGACTGAAAGGGGATTGTGGGTCTTTGAGGTGCCTTCTCTCAGGTGAAATGTTAAACCCAAGCTCCGTCACTCCACCAGCGCTGAAGAAAATTTGGCAAGTTTTCACTTTGTGACCTGTCCAATACTTATGCTTCAATCAACATCAGAAGAAAAAAAATTGATTATCTGATCATTATCCCAGTGATATTTGTGGGAGATTTCTCTGCAAAATTGGCCATCGCATTTCCTGCATTACTAAAGTGACTGCACCACAGAAGTATTTAATTAACTGCAAAGCACATCCCAAGGTCAAGAACTGTGTACAATTTTGTTCTCCTTACTTGAGAAAGGGTGTACTGGCAGTGGAGGGGGTGCAGAGGAGGTTCACCAGGTTGAATCTGGAGTTGACAGGGTTGGCTTTTGAGTAAAGACTGGGACTATATTCACTGGAATTTAGAAGAATGAGGGGTGATCTCATTGAAACAGGGTGAGCAAACAGGGTTAAGGAAAATCCCAAAGCCTTTTATTCATACATATGGAGCAAGGGGGTAACTAGAGAAAGGGTTGGCCCATTCAAGGACAAAGAAGGGAAGTTACGCGAGGAGTCGGAGAAAAAGAGAGAGATTCTGAATGAGTACTTTGCGTCAGTATTCACTGAGGAGAGGGACATGACGGATGTTGAGGTTAAGGATAGACGTTTGAATAATCCAGGTCAAGACGGCATAAGGAGGGGGGAAGTGTTGGGTATTCTAAAAGGCATTAGGGTGGACAAGTCCCCAGGTCCGGATGGGATCTATCCCAGGTTACTGAGGGAAGCGAGAGAGGAAATAGCTGGGGCCTTAACAGATATCTTTGCAGCATCGTTGAGCACGGGTGAGGTCCCGGAGGACTGGAGAATTGTTAATGTTTTCCCCTTGTTTAAGAAGGGTAGCAAGGATAATCCAGGTAATTATAGACCGGTGAGCCTGATGTCAGTGGTGGGGAAGCTGCTGGAGAAGATACTGAGGGATAGGATCTATTTATATTTGGAAGAAAATGGGCTTATTAGTGATAGGCAGCATGGTTTTGTGCAGGAAAGGTCATGTCTTACCAACTTGACAGAATTCTTTGAGGAAGTGACAAAGTTGACAGATGAGGGAAGGGCTGTAGATGTCATATACATGGACTTCAGTGAGGCATTTGATAAGGTTCCCCATGGTAGGCTGATGGAGAAAGTGAAGTCACATGGGGTCCAGGGTGTACTATATAGATGGATAGAGAACTGGCTGGGCAACAGGAAACAGAGAGTTGTAGTGGAAGGGAGTTTCTCAAAATGGAGAACTGAGACCAGTGAGATCCATGTTGGGACCACTGTTGTTTATGATATACATAAATGATCTGGAGGAAGGTATAGATGGTCTGATTAGCAAGTTTGCAGATGACACTAAGATTGGTGGAGTAGCAGATAGTGAACGGGACTGTCGGAGAATGCAGCAGAACATAGATAGATTGGAGAGTTGGGCGGAGAAATAGCAGATGGAGTTCAATCCAGGCAAATGCAAGGTGATGCATTTTGGAAAATCCAATTCAAGAGCGAACTATACAGTAAATGGAAAAGCCCTGGGGAAAATTGATGCACAGAGAAACCTGGGTGTTCAGGTCCATTGTACCCTGAAGGTGGCAACGCAGGTGGATAGAGTGGTCAAGAAGGCATATGGCATGCTTTCATTCATCGGACGGGGTATTGAGTACAAGAGTTGGCAGGTCATGTTACAGTTGTATAGGACTTTGGTTCGACCACATTTGGAATACTGCGTACAGTTCTGGTCGCCACATTATCAAAAGGATGTGGATGCTTTGGAGAGGGTGCAGAGGAGGTTCACCAGGATGTTGCCTAGTATGGAGGGCGCTAGCTATGAAGAGAGGTTGAGTAGATTAGGATTATTTACATTAGAAAGATGGAGGTTGAGGGGGGACCTGATTGAGGTCTACAAAACCATGAGAGGTATAGACAGGGTGGATAGCAAGAAGCTTTTTCCCAGAGTGGGGGACTCAGTTACTAGGGGTCACGATTTCAAGGTGAGAGGGGAAAAGTTTAAGGGAGATATGCGTGGAAAGTTCTTTATGCAGAGGGTGGTGGGTGCCTGGAACGCGTTCCCAGCGGAGGTGGTAGAGGCGGGCACAATAGCGTCATTTAAGATGTATCTAGACAGATACATGAATGGGCAGGGAGCAGAGGGATACAGATCCTTGGAAAATAGGCAACAGGTTTAGTTAGAGGATCTGGATCGGCGCAGGCTTGGAGGGCCGAAGGGCCTGTTCCTGTGCTGTAATTTTCTTTGTTCTGTTCTTTGTTCTTTGAAACATATAAAATTACAAAAGGAACAGATAAAATGGAGACAGGGAGATTGTTTCCTTGTTTCCACTGGGGCGGTTAAACTAGAATTAGGGAGCATTAGATGCATCATGCTGCAGATAAGGCGGAACAGATTTCATATTGAGTTGAGGAGGAACTTCTTCACCCAAAGGGTCATGAATCTGTGAAATTCCCTGCTGAGTGAAGCAGTTGAGGCTACCTCGTTGAATGTTTTTACAGTAAAGATTGATAGATTTTTGGACATTAAAGGAATGAAGGGTTACGGTGAGAGGGTGGGTAAGTGAAGCTGAGTCCACGGATAGATCAGCCACAATCTTATTGATTGGTGGAGCAGGTTTTATGGTCCGGTTGATCTACTCCTGCTCCTATTCTTATGTTCTTATGAAAGGTGCTGTATAATTAGAAGTCTGTCATTCTTTTTGTAGACTGGCATAGTTTTAACTGCAAAAAGTACTTCAATTATGGTCAACTGTCATTCAAGGAGGTGGGGGAGAGGAGTATTTGCACCACAGCCATGGTGGGAGTCAAACCCACATTCTCAGAGATTAAGCTGGACCTCTGGAGTTCAGTAATGTCAACACCACCCCACTTTGTGCAGTAGGGAGCAGGATAATCGATGGTGGATCGTCAATACACACATTCTTTCATATTGTATCAGAGTTTCCTCCAGGGGGCGGAAGGGAGAAAAGTGGAATGCCAGTCTCTACTTCGTATGGGGAGGGATGGGGGCGATGAAGTTACTGCAGCGGTAGCCAGTAACAAAGGCGCTTTATAAATGAAAGTTATTGTTGTTAATGGCATGCAAGCGTTCTCGTATTCTCACATCTCCACTCCCCATTTCTGAGGCATTCTTGGGGAGGGGATTACTGCACAGTTTGTTTATTTTCAGTCCCAAGTCTCCTGAGCATTGATATTGGAGCCATTCCGAAGGTGCAAAACCTGGCACATAATGTAATGACAAACGTGGGTGGGTTTGTTTTGCAAATGTGGCATCAAACAAACAGCATGTCATTCCACCTCCTGTTGTGGGAGTGCCTAGTGTTTTAGATTCTGTCACAATGGAGCAGAGGCCCATGAGCGGGATAGGTCAGTTAGCTCAGTCAGCTGGACAGCTGGCTTGTGACCCAGAGTGATACCAACAGCTTGGGTTAATTACCTACACCAGCTGGGGTCACCATGAAGGATCTGTCTTCTCTCCCTCACCCCTTGCCTGAGATGTTGTGACACTTGTGTTAAACCACCAGCAGTGATCTCCCTCTAAAGAGAGATTAGGATGATGTATTGCTACTACTACAGAAGGTAGGAAACCTTCCAGGTTATGTGGTAAAATAAGAAATCATTATCTTGTCATGTCACCACCATAGAAATATCGATTGGAACTGAACAATCTGGAGGCTGATGGAATGTCATTACAGTTGCCAACTCTCGTTAGATGTTACCCAGGAGGTCATATCAGTTCTGGTCCAGCACCTCAATGTACTATGTTTGGGTCTGGGCAAAATATTGTCAGAGCCTTTTGATGCGAGGTCAAACATTAGGTTTCTATTTAAACAGAGTAAAGGCAAATTAGTAAAGCAGCTCCGAGAAGCTTTAATCATACTCATGCCTAGAATGGACAGGTAGCCTCATGAGGAAAGGTTGGATAGGCTACTCAGTTCTGAGGAAGGGTCACTGGACCCGAAACGTTAACTCTGTTTTTTCCTTCACAGATGCTGCCAGACCTGCTGAGCTTTTCCAGCAACTTTGTTTTTGTTCCTAAGCCAAGCTTGTATCTACTGGAGTATAAAACAGGACAAGGTGATTTGATTGAAACATATAAGGAACAAAGGGGTCTCCCATTTAAAACAGACATGATTTTTTTTCTCTCTCTTGAATTTTTGGAACCATCCCTTTTGAAAAGCAGCAGCAAGGTGTCTCAATAGTTAGTTAGCATTACTGCCTGACAGTGCCAGGGACCCAGATTCAATTCCAGCCTCGGGCAACAGCTGTCTGTGTGGAGTTTGCATGTTCGCCCTATAACTGCGTGAGTTTCTTCCCATAGTCCAAAGATGCGCAAATTAGGTGGATTGGCTGTGTTAAATTTTTCCAGGGATGTGCAGGCTAGGAGGATAAGCCATGCGAAATACAGGGATAAGGTAGGTGGGGTGGTGGGTCTGGGTGGGGTGCTCTTCAGAGGGGTGATGTAGACTCAATGGGCCAAAAGGTCTGCTTCCACATTGTAGGGATTCTAACCAAAATATTTGAGCATTCTTAGGACAGAGGTAGATAGATTCTTGAAAAGAAAGCAGGTGAAAGGGTGTTTTTTTAATTCATGGGGACCTAGACATTGCTGGCCATCTCTAGCTGCCTTTGAACTGAGCCGCTTGCTCAGCCATTTCAAAGGACAGTTGAGAGTCAACCACATTGCTAAGGGTCTGGAGTCACACATTTAGCAGATTTCCTTCCCCAAAGGACATTCGTGAACCAGATGGGTTTTTCCCCTGTCAGTCGACAATGGTTTCATGGGTATCAATAGATTCTTAATTCCCAAAGTTTATTGAAGTCAAATTCCACTACCTGGTAGAATTTGAACCTGGATCCCCAGAACATCCGCTGAGTTTCAAGATTAAGAGCCTAGTGATAATACCACAAGGCCATCACCTCCTTTATCAGGGTATGTGAATTATTGAATTGAATTAGCTTTACTGTCATGTGTAATCGAATGAGTACAGTGAAAAGTTTACAAGTCACCACTTATGGCGCCACCTTAGGTACAAGAAGCTTAGGTACAGATACTTAAATATTTGATATAGAATAGCAAACAAGTCTAGCATAAGAATAAAAATGAAAAATAATGAGAAGTATAAAAGTAAATATTTCACAGTCCTTCCACCCCAGTCTGTACTGACACCTAGCATCCAAACTGTACCAGGAAATTCTCCAGGCCGCACTGGGCTTTGAAACTCAAGGCCTCGCCTCCAGTAAGGCCATGATCATATTGAACATCAAAGCAGGCTTGAGGGGCCATATGGCCTACTCTTGCCCCTAAATCGTGTGTTCACATCCAGGTCAATATTTCAGCTCTGCTACAAAGCTCGTATAATGGTGGTCATGTGATCTTGCACCATTCCTCATGACAGAAACTCTCTTATTTACATATCAGTGTTAACCCTTTATACTACACT